AGGTGCAATGGTTTTAAACTGAAAGAAGATGGGTTTAGATTAGATGTTAGAGAGAAAGTCTTTACTGTGAGGCTGGTGAGGCCCTGCCACAGGTTGTTCAGAGAAGCTGTTGATGCCCAACCCCTAGAAGTGTTCAAGACCAGGTTGGATAGGACTTAGAGCAACCTGGTCTAGTGGAAGGTGTCCCTGCCCATGACAAGGAGTTTGGAACAAGATGGTCTTTAAGGTCCCTTTCAACCCAAATCATTCTCTGATTCTTGGAAAATAGCACTGCTGCTATAATAATATTATTGTTGATTAGCTAAATCAGATAGGAGAAGGGAGTTAGCTTTAGCAAACCTAGTTTTCTAGGGAAAACTAGGTTTGTTTGTTGTTTTTATTGGGGTTTGGCCATTTGGCTTTGGTTTTTGTTTGTTTGTTTGTTTCTTAATTCTTGATAGAACTAAAGAAGGTGCAAAGAAAGGAATTAAAGATTTCAGAACTGGAAAAAGACATGAAAACAACTCATTTCTCAGCCAGGCCTTCCCCTGATTGCTAGCAGTTGATTAGGTTTGCCTTGGTAGAACTACAGGTTTTCAGTCACTCTGTACAGTAGCATTTTCCACCTCAATAATAATTTCTGAAACACCTGTCCTGGTAGAAAACAACCACATCCTCTGAGTTTCCCTTATTGACATTTGACATCTTGCAGGTGCCAGAACCATGCCTGAGACCTGAACCTGCAGCAGGCCATAGGCAGACAGAGAAACAGGTAAACCTTGTTTTGTTCAACTAATTTGTGCCTGTGAGGGAAGTAAACAGCTTTTGATGTGCAATCTGCTGTCTTTGCTTTCCTTCCATCATGTAGCATTGCTGCTGGGGCATGTCTGAAGGTCAGATTCATCATGAAAATCCAGTCTATTGGGCCTGAATGATTTTTACAAACCCAGACCTGTTTTTCTGCTGACAGTTCCATCTGTTGAGGAGTAAGCAGAGTCACTGCAAGCATCTGAGACTAATGACCTACTTCTCACAGCAAAAGATAAGCCTCTTTATTTATTCTCCAGTGTGGCAAGAGAGATGGGACTTAAGCTGTGAAAGAGTTGTAAATAGTAATTTCATTACAATAGTGGTATTACCAAGTACCAGAGATACACCTGTTTGCACAGCTGATGAGCTTCAGACGTTAGTCTTCAAGTGGTCCAGAAAGTTAATTTCTAGTTATTTTCATAGATCAGATAATGAATTGGATCAAAAATGGACTGGCTCAATACTGGGTGGCTGAGTGACTTCTGTCCATTTTCATAACTCAGAGATGTAGGAGCTCTCTGGGTGGGAAGCTCCAACTGTCCTAAGAAATCCCTCCAGACAGCTCCTGCTGTGACTAGAAGAACTTTAAATATGTCATTTGACATTGTAGGTGGATAATCTGGCCTCTTAAAGTGATGATTCTTGCTGCAGCATTGATCTGCTGATACACAGGAAAGGCAATTGTGAACAGCTGGTGATTCAGAGGCAGAAATAGCAACCTTGGATGATTGTTTGGACATGGAAAAGCTAAAAGGTGCTTTGTACATACTTTTAGAAAGTTTTGTGCTGGAATGGTCACTCAGGGCCTTGGACAACCTGGACTATTGGGGATGAACTGAACAGCAGCAATTCTACCATTTAGAAATGCAGGATGGAGCCAGGTAAGCCAAGGATCCTCAAAGACTTAGACAAAAGGCAAAAAAGTAACACATGATTTGCATGGCCTTGCCTCTTCACTTCTACTGTCCTTTGCCAGAAATAACTGAGCATCAACCCACATTCAAATGCTTCCACCAGCACACTTTGATCCTTTGCTCCACCTGTGATCTCTTGCTCCCTGAGAGCCACATGATGGCTCTAGCAAACATAACAAGGTGTCTCAGTTTAATAAGAGTGAAGTGGTTTGCTAAGGAGGATGAGCCACAGGGAAAACCAAGCTCCTTCCTCCAAGCAATCGTAAATCCGAAATCAAGAGGCTCCAATTGAAGAAGCATGGAGAAAGAAAAGATCACAGCCATTTATTGAAGGATATATATGTATTGGCAAAACAACAAAAGAACACAAAACCAACTAAACAATAATCCTGCCCCCAAAAGTTCTCTCCAAAAAACCAGTTCAGTACTTTTCGCCTTTTGGCGCACTTCTAACCACGATCAGGAGGGGGCGCGGTTGGATCTCTGGAGGAGCAGCGCCTGCAGGTGCCCGGTGGGGGCCGGCAGGGGGCGCTTTGGAGCTCTGGCGGTGGCCGCGGGCGGCCCCGGTGCTCGGGAGAAGCAGAAATGGAGATCTCTTCCCCAGTGAGAAGGAAAAGGGGAAAAAGGGGTTCTTCCCACGAACTCACGCTGTTGACGGCTGGCTCCAGCCAGGACTCCCCCAAAGGTTCCTTCACAGAAGGGCCAAGCCTCTCCGATGAAATTTGAACAAGCCTGGGCTGGGGGCAGAACAGGGGGCAGAACGGAGGTGAACCGGGGCCAGAAGCAGCCAGATGACCTGGTCAAAAACAAAGCAAGCTCGGAGTCTTTTCATGCACACCCCCTCCCTGAGTCAGGGCAAAAGTGAAGTGCCTCCTGTTTCCTGAGGAAAAAAAAACCCACAGCATTCCTCCACCACACTCCCAGTCTTCTGAAGGCTACCAACCTGGAATGCGGGTCTGCTAGCTAGTTCCTTTGTGTGTGTCAATCACCCTAGTCAAATACCCTTCCCCTCCCTCGTTCAACATATTTTTTTATATCTATGCAGGGGAAAGGAAAAAAAATCCCCCTTGGGTTTTTTTAGAACAAGTAAACCTATGACACAAGGGTAGCACAACCACCACTAGCTGGCCTAGAACTAGCACTGATGTCTCCCTGCTCGTTCAGTCTGACTCCACAATTAGAGTACAAATAGCTCTAAATATCATCTAAGTGTCCTTGTCCATGTCCCCATGTCAGTGATTTCTAACCTTCCCCTCATGGCACTGCTATCCTGAATTCCCACATATGAGAACTTCTCCCGATGTTATTCCTGTAAGTCTTTTGTATTCTGTACCCTGAATATATCCACTTTCGGCACAAGCATTGCATTTTGGTTGTAAAAAAGACTTAACCGAATGCCTTCTATCTGGAGATGAGCTGAGTTTGGCTTTGAAATGGCTCTGCTTTCAAACCAGCAAAAGCACATAAAAAAGTTAATACTGAAAATAAAGGAAATAAAAAAGCTGATAGACTTGCTTAGGCTCTTGTTTAAAAAATATTGGAACAATGTTTCAGGTGAAATGCCAGTTTCTTTTGTACTTCAGAGGCAGAGAGTATGCACTTCTAGACCTTTGAGAAACAGAGCAGGATTGATTCTGAAAAGTAAATAGTGACTCCAAAATAACTGTTTCCTTTTTTTTTTTCAATAAAAATAACTTGCAATATTTGACAATGAAGTTGTCCATTATCCATTCCACTGGTGGATTTCTTTACCAAATTAAAATAGTTGCTTCTCTTTCCCTTTTTTTTAAATATTTTTCTTTAAAAATCAAAATACTTGCTCTTCTTTGCCTTTTATATTAAAATATTTTAAAAGAATAATTTTTTTTTTAGTAAATCTTTTCTCTTCCCTGAAAGAGTAGTTTTTTTTCTCTTATTGCAAGGCAATATGGCTTCTAAAATTTGCTCATTTGTAAACTGAACAACAAAACAACCCCTTTGCTGTTTAAATCCTGGGTCCCCATTACCCTCAGTCATGTGTGCCTCTGCCAGATGTATGATTCTCATTACACACTACTGTATTAATTTCTTTTTGCAATAAGTAATTTTTATTCTACTCTCCTAAGACAGTGTATCTACTTGACATATTATTTCAGTCAGTTCCCTCAAACTGGGCAACTCCAGCCTTTGTATTAATAGGAAATGAAGAGTATTGTCTTTAAAAGTGTTTTTCCAAGATTTAATAGGAACTGGAACCTTAGGTATTACTGTCTCCTTCAATAATCTTGTCAATAACATAAATCTGTGCTGAAACAATTTTATTTGTTTGGGACATAGAAATAAAATTATGACTCAGGATCAAGTTTCCACTAGAACTTGTTTGCCAGAACATTTACTCTCTGCAGGCTGCCCTGGTTGTCATCAACCAGGGTGGAGAGAAACCATAGCAGAAGTGTGGGTGGCTGGGCAGAGAGGGGGACTGGAGGCAGGCTGAGGGCATCGTCCTGTGATGAGCCCTGCTGCCCCTGCTGCCTACTCTGCCTTTGGAATCTGCTGCACTGTATGCAGCTGCAGCAGGAATTCTTATGGGAAGAAGGACGTCCAATATGGCCCTGGGGCTCCAGGGGCCCATGGCTGTGTCCCTTACCACATGGGTGCCACCCTATAACACTCCAGCCCTGGAGCCACAAGCTCAGGGGCTCAGCCTAGAGTTCTTACACTAAAATATACAGAGCGAGGGTTCTTCAACACCTCGAGATAGTGTCAGGAGAATAAGCCGCATACTTGATCCCAAGAGGCACTTCTATTGATAATTTAGGGAAGAAAATAAAGGAGGTTGGCAAAAGGAAGATTATATAGCTACCAGCTCTCACACGTCCAGATGACAGGGCCACGAATGCATCGTAAACATATGCCTTTAGTTTTTTCTGTTCTGGTCCTTATGGCCAACCCCCGCCAGGCAGGGCCTCTGACCCACTGGACACTCTGGGGCTCCAGGCCAGAGTGAAGGGCACTGTCCCTGCCAATTTGAGGCTGGGTTAGGGGCTTCAAGAGCTGTGGGGTATTAAAGTTTTCCAGGGCTGTTTGTGACTGACAGGGCTTCCCCACTTGGGCTCCAGGCCCTGACACAAGGGATACATCACCTCAGCTCTGTGAGGTTCAACCCATCCCTTCCTGCTCTGCATACACCTCCCTGAACCCCCTTCAAGGTGTTTCCAACCCCACAATGACTGGTCTAGTGTCTAAAACACCATGGGTGTGGCACAAGGGAAAGAGGAAACAGAAGGGAGAGAAAGCAGCAAGAGAGACTGGGTGAAGGAAATAACAATTTATTTCCCTTTTCTTGAATAAAGAGTTGCAAGAGCTCTGCTAATGCTGCCAGTGGGACAGCCTCTTGCAGGGCTGAGGAGAGTCCTGGGAGCTGAGCACCTTCCTGTTTGGAGGGTACCAGGATCCCCTGGGCAATCACTCCCTGCCCTGACTGGGAGCAGAGGGGCTGCGTCTGCTGCCCTGGGAAGAGGGACCTGCCACTGTCATTGCCTTCCCCAGCTCCTCCTGGGGCTGGTCCTGCTTTGTGGGGACAGGCACAGGTGGGGTATGCCTGGGACCTCTGCGAGAAACAGCCTCCAACTTGCCGACTTCCTCCTCCGAGTTATAGCCTTTGGGGCCACTGGTGGGAATCTTATCCCAGGACCTTATGCTGGTCCTGAAGCTGTTGGAGTTGGAGCTGGAGTTGCTGGAGCTGGAATTTCTGGAATTGCTGGAGCTGGAGCTGGCTCTGGCCACAGGGCTGTTGTTCTCGTCTCTGACTGCACCAGAGCGCAGCAGCCTCTGGGCCTCCCCGCTGCACTGGGCCACAATGATGTTGATAACACCATGGACCAGCAGTGCTGTGTGTTGCTCAAGGAGAGGCTCCAGCCCCTCAATCAAGGCCTGTGCATTTGGTCCTTTGACACAGAGGTCGTGCAGAATGGTGCTCTCTGCGGCCTCAACCAGCCACCACCAGCTCCGGTATATTCCCTCCAGCCTCTGGCGCAGCCAAGGCCGCACAGGGTCCAGGAGCTGCTGCCGTTCACGGAAAAGTCCTGCCCAGACCTCAGGAAGAAGGCCACCCCCAAACTCCAGCCCTGAGGCCCTCTGCTCAGGTAGGGATAGTGTCCCCTGTGGAGA